TTCTTTGCTGTAAGCATTTCCTTCAGCTCCAGGAAGCACGATGCATACACCGAGATTCGTGTATTTTCGCTACATAATTTAATATTGCTCTACTTAGGTGGACCAATTTTGGTTTCAATTTCGTGGTGCCAAATCGAGCAGTGACGTCGATGCATTAGTGGTTTGGTCACGTGAGCACACAAGGCTGGGACGCACATCGTGTTGAGTTTCGTCTGCTCTCATACACACGTGTCACACCAAACGCTAGCAAGACAAATGCGCTGACGGTCGCCATGCCATGGCCAGCTGCAGTAGCATCGAGGCAGTGGCAAAGGAAGAGGCAGCAATAAGGAAACAAAGCGTTTATATCTACAACGTATGTACAGAACTTGGACGAGGAAGCCGCTCGATGCCCCGGCCTTTTATAGGCGTCGAGATGCTGATGGAGGATGAGGCAGCTCCGCTGTTGGACGCGCGCAGTGTCTGTGAACTGCGCATTGAGTGTCTTTTCGAAAGCACTTAAAGTCCTTGACGGACGCACACAGTGTTTCTGCAAGGGACGCCAGCACGCTTGTAACAGCAGGCATGCTGAATTTCTCCTTGTTGAAGAAATGCGTTTCGGAGATGGTGGAGGTCACTCACGTCCCTACAAATCTGGTGTGACGTGACGACATCTGTCGTTGCTTCTGCTATTCTGAAACCTCAGTGTTGCTGCGCAAGCGATTTGCCTAGATCGAATGAGTGAGCATTCAGCTACACTTTTAGAAGTGAATTAAAATATATTCTAACCGTTTTTTGTGTCCGACTCTTCGTGTGGAGAGTCCTTCCATCCAGAGGAAACCCACAACAGGCTTAGGATAGCCTGGAAATTCGCTGCCATCACCCCTTTAATTATACGGAAGGTATACAGGCTCAAAAAACCGTTTTTTGCTTGTTCTGCCTTGTCCGCAGCCATTTTGTGGGACTGCGTCCACATTTGTGAAGATAATGAAGAAATTATTGGTTTTTGGGGGTGATATTGAAACGAATACTGTGATTGAGGTAACCCGAATAGCAAAACAGATAAAGCAACTCAATGCTGGCATAAGAAGAATAAAAGTGGTGCGTTTCACTGATATAAATAAGGCTTGACGCAATCAAGGGACTAGCAAAGAAAGTCGAGGCTCATCTCGCTGAAGAAATACTAAACATGAAATAAGTAATCAAAACACTGCAAAAAAGAATGTATGACCTCGAAAGGTAAAACCTCTGGTCAAATCTTATTGTATATAGCTTAGTAAAACACGAGAAAAAAAAAGAAATGAAGACTCTAAACAAGCCGTGAACAAAGGTATTACTAAAAAATAAGCTAGAGCTTGAACCAGTTTCAATCAAACGCATGTGTACAACGACTGGAGAATTCACAGTCAATTAAAATGAGGCCAGTTACAGTGACTTTAGACAACAAACATGAAATTTTAGAAACTGGTACAAATAGGAAAATTTCTGGCTTCTTCATTAGTGAAAACATTTTGCGTAAAATACGGAAGTTTGTAAAGAGGCTTTGGCAAAGGAAAAAAATAAAACTGACAAAAACACTAAGATTTGTCACTACCGTTTGACAAACCCAATATTTGACTCAATAATGAACAAACTAAGTCCCATCAAGAATGATAGGAAAATAACAATCTTCTCGTTCATTAAAAAGGAACGATATGAAGGAGCAGCCTTTCACTCGCCAAAACATGAAGTAAAAGAAATTACTGCACTCCCTCTAAATGCTAGTATTCTGAGCCAAACGGAAGCTCTTGAAATTTTATATCGACGCTGAGGCAGACAAGTAGACAAGTTTCTGAGCTTGAATGTTGATTGAATATTAACCTGATGTTGTGGCTTTTACAGATAATAGCTCACCCGCGATATGTATGACAATAAAATCTTGCCACGTTAAATAACCCACAAGGGCCTACCGACACGAAGCGGTGGCGTTGTTTTGCTGGTAATGAATTGTTTTTCATTCCTCGTTCTCGTGCACATTGTAGACGCTGAAGCTGTATTTTATAAACTGACGTGTGGCTCAGGGACTGTGTTCATTGCGCGTGTTCATCCGAGTACATCATCAGGTCATTAAAGTATATAGGCTATGGATGAATGCAAGAAAGAAACCTGTGATATTCGAGAATATTGCTGATGGGTGACTTCAATTTCGCTGAAATGGAATGGAATACTATGCGTCACTCATAATCAGTTTCTGTTGCTCTGTTTGGTTGTTTCTGTAGCTATGTTTGATAGAAAAAGTCACTGTCAGGAAGAACAAGGGAAGCACTAGTGGAGAAGGAAGATGACGTTGCTTCTACGGTGATCGCGTTCTCGGGACCCATTAAAAATCTCATTAAACTTTGCCGCACGTAACAGGTTGGTGGAGGTGCTGGGTAGCGTAAACCCAATGACAGGACCTTCACTACCAGGACTTCGTCGCAGCCGCTGCCTTACCGGGCTCCGACCTATGCCAATTGTAATAGCCCAAGACCAGCCTTCCAACGCTTCGAGGTCAACTGCGATGGGTTCCCTGCCGTACTACAGAGTGCCACCAAACTTTGGCGGGGCATCAGGAGAAGAAGTCGATGTGTGGCTCAAGAAATATAAGCGGGTAAGCAGAAGCATTGGCTGGAACTCCAACGAACAGCTAAACCATGTTGTATTCTCGTTAACTGACACCGCCCTCATTTGGTACGAGAACCACGAGGACATGTTGACGACTAGGGAGCGTTTTGTCGAAGAAGTTGAGAAATGCTTCTGTGAAAAAACGCGTGGAGCAGACATTGCCTCAAAGGACACAGCTTCCAGGAGAAACATGTATGACGTACATCGAAAAACTTTTTAAGCTCTGCAAGATTGTGAATGCATGTATGTCTGAAGAAGACAAGGTTGGACACGTTTTCAAGCATATAGCGAAAGACGTGTACAATTTCTTAATCCCTCAAGATGTGGCGGATCTCTCCGGAATTTGGCCGCCTGTCCAACGTCCTCATTGTGGCTAGTGTTGAAACAGTGCCGCCTAACGACCTTGCTTTGACCATATTGCCAATTGTCAGAGAAGACGTGCTTCAATGTCAGCACACTTATCAACGCCATAGTGATTTTTAGGGTGCCTATGCAAGCGAATCAAAACGTGTGTGGTCTCTGGTTACTCTTGCACCATAGCGACCAATGATCAACGCAGCAGACGAGTATGATTAACAAGGCACACGGCAGGCTGGGTTCCTACGTCAACCATGTCCGAATTACAAACGAAGTTTTCGCCCGCCTTGTTACCCCACATCGCCTGCCTACGGTGCCCCTGAAGAGCGGCACCAATATCCCAGGCCTTCCGGTAGCAGTCGTTACTCTGAGGAGCCACGTGACCCTCGACCAATTCGGGTGTGCTAAAACTGTGGCATCCCGGGTCACATCCCACGTTTTTTTTCGATCACAGCCCATATCAGCGACAGCCTTGGTACTTGTCTCACCAACCTTACGACCTTCCGCTCTCCCCGTCACAGAAACCACGCCCACAAATGGGGTCACGTTACTCCTCGCCGGCCTCTGATTGAAGTTTGACGCCATCACCAGCTCCACGTGCTCCACGATCACCGTCACCACGGTGACGCACACGGTCACCACCACCAGAAAACTAGTCGGTGCAGCCAGTGGGGGTAAAGCCACGAGAACCCAGGCACTATCAGCATTTATGTTGAAGAACAAAGTTAATGTAGTTGTCAATGGAGTGGCTACTATGGCACTTGTGGATACAGGCGTGACAGTCTCATTGAATAATGTAACTTTTAAGAACCTGCTAGGACCTAAACTAATGTTTTGCCTGAACCATCGTATGACATTTCGTGAGGTGTGTGGTGACGCATTATGCCTAGTGGGATATTGTACTGTGAACGTCTCGTTGTGTGGCAAGGTGTTTCGCACAGAGTTTGCTGTTATTTCATGGTCTGCACATGACGTTATCTTGGGTATCGACTTCTTGCGTGAGTGTGGGGCAACTAAATACTGAAGAAGTGGGCACTTTTCTATGCATGGTACTTTCCAAGCAGCGCTCTTAAAAAACTCCTGTCGGGATTAATGCACCTTTTTCGTCTTCGTTCAAACTAGTTAAAATAACCCGCGTGCACTCTGACTCTTCTCCTGGAGACGCCACCGCGAGTAAACCAAAAGCAACGTTAAGGGGCACTTAAGTAAAGGAACGGTTTACGTCAGAGTGAAAGCACCATGTAATGCAACATCAAAAACAACAATATATCAACATCAGAAACCTACTTACCAAGAAATTAAGCTCAAATCACAAGAATACGTGTGCCGCAGTATAGATTCTAAAAATGATCCCAATGACGTCAGACAAACCACATACAATAATCAAAAGTAATCGATCTATCTGCACAAAATAAAGAACCTTCCATGCATCAAGAGACACAATAAAGCGCAGCTTGTTCGTTGCTGTTTGATAATATGAAAGAAAAAAAACCCAAACGTTCTTATAGGGAAAAGCGCAAGTGGTTAGAAAGTTCTATTTTCTCGAAAATAAACACAAAACAGGTCGTGCTATCTAGCAGGGCTAGTTGAACCAAAACACGTCTGCCATCTCGGAGCCATTGGCAGGAAATCGATCAATGGCTGTTGTTGCTGCTGCGCCTTCCGCTGATTTTGTTTTGCAGCTACAAGTGTAAGCGACCACGCATAAAGCCGAGCTACAATGTGCACGGCAACAGTGACGTGAATCTGTCCGTTTCTTTAGGTGGTTAATTTGAAGTGCGGTAACCCGATGCGGACCTCTAAAACTGGATTTTATTTCAAAATAAACCCTTCTATGACACACAGTAACACTACGAGGTTTTTGGACCGTTATTTAGCAATAAACGTCGACCTTATAGTTGCCTTTTGTATCTGTTTAATGACAACTCTACACGGAACATTATGTCGACCCATGAGCTCCTTCACATGCTACTCATGGTTCCCTTTACGGGCAGATGTGTATATCTCTAGCAGTACAACACCTTGGTAGCATGCAGTAGTGTTTCCAAGATGTGGGGCAGAGTGGGAAATAAAGGTGGTTGCTTTCTGCTTGTAGTAGAGGGTGCCTTCGGCCACTTCTTCGTTCGCCTGGCCCTGGTCTTGGCCACGAATGGTGGAGTTCGCGGAGGTCCGCCGCCCCGTTTGACGTAGACGGACGTCTGATCTGTGGTCTCCTCGGATGATGTCCAGGTCGCTGCGGCAAAATACGGGAGTCCGTGTACATACGGCGAACTTGAATAGTAGGCTCACCTGCGGTGTGTTTTGTTCATGTACAGGTGGGAGTATCATACTCAGCTTGTCTATCCTTGTGGAAAGTGTTTTTTTTTATGGTAGTACTGTGGAAGTGACGAAACCAAATCTCAAGTCTGCTAGCGCGCTTCAATAAACAGTACCTAGAAGGTATTGATATTTTTTTTTAATTTGCCTTGCTGAAACGAATGCTGCTTTATTCAGTGTGCGACTCGAAAAGTTTTGGAAGGCACAGGCCGAATACGGTTGCTGTTCTCTTGACGACAATATGTTCCTCTTTCCTTTTTTTGGTGAGCACCACGTATTCAGCACACCCACTTTCCAAAGTAAACATGGCCTTGGTACAAGTCTGTAAACAAGCGGATTAATTGTCTAAGAAAACTTACTCGCATTAGGACACTGAAATTTGTACTAAACAATCTAAATGTTTCTCCCTGTCACATTTTTGAGCTCATAATTTTAAACGTATTTATGGTGTGAGCGTAAACTGAAATCAAACGCAAGCTGTCGTTCTACACGAAGAAAAGTTTTTGCCAACTTCAAACGGCACGCCGCTGATCGCGATAGAGACAGATCGGGATCCGATTTCTCAACAGTGGCTGGGTCCTTTCTGCAGCTTGTGTTATAGGTAGACCGACCGCGATGGAACAATTCAATTGGAAGCAGGCCCAATCACAAATTAAAGTGGCCGTGTGACAAACACGAAAGTTCAGAAGCTCCAGGCGTGTCGGCAACCTTCGCTCTCTGGCGAAAATGGATGACTCCCGAGTGTATAGGGCAAAAGTAACCAAATTGAGCTTCAGGCAAAAAGACTGCGAAGAAAACGACAAGGAAAGGGGTGTGTATTCATCTTGAATTATTGATTGATATGTGGAGTTTAACTTCCCAAAACCACTATATGATTATGAGACACACCGTAGTAGATGGCTCCGGACCTTTCTACCACCTTGAGTTCATTAACGTGCACCCAAATCTGAGCCCACGGGCCTCAGCATTTCCGCCTCCATCGAAAATGCAGCCTGTTGCACTGTTTCTAAGATAAATGCCATCCAACTTGCTTAATTATTTGTGTCATCACAATCTGCGCATAATTTTACACAATCTCCACCTTCCTACCATTCAACTTGGTGTGACCAATGTTGTACGCTGCACTGAAATTCTATACACAGCAGTGCCACCGCAGAGTCACCCGATAGGCGTACGACACAGGCGGTGATTACGGAATGAAGCTGCCAAGCTCGGAAGTAGATCCTTTTCTCGCTTGTTCAGACGAGACAATGCTAAGAATACTCACCCCATGCTGCTGCTATAGTTCAACAAAGAGTTGTCATGTTTTAGGTTTGGATTCGTCCTTTCATCAAGGCAACTTTTCATATCTCTTCGAAAGGGATGGGGGTGATGTGTGAAAAATGGTATCCCCTAACCTAAGCAGCGGCCCTATACGACAACTGCAGATGCACACGTACCCCAACCCGTCACTGTTTAACAAATTCTACCTCAATTTATGTATGGAACATATGCAAGATCTCCCTATTGAGGTCGCTACACGAACTCTTATGCTCTGGGATTGTACACACTACCCACAAGATGCTACATCTAGAGCCCTTCCACCGTGGTGGGCCACTGCATTGCGCTGTCCCATCCTCGGCGACCAACTCTGGGCCGTTCAGCAGGCACACAAGGCGGCGGTGAGGTAAGGCTTTGACGTCCCCATAGAGGAGCCCTATGGGCCGCTCAGCAAAAGCTCTGCCGGACTACAAATAAAGTTGTTACCAACCAACCAACCTAACATGGCAGCTAAGTGTCGATGGTGTGCGATGGTTGGCGACCATGCAGGAGCAAAAAATGGGAAAACGCATAGTGACTTGCGTAGTGAAGTTATACGCGTATGTCAGATTGGAAGAACGTGGTCTTAGTTTGTTTGATCAGAAGCGACATGCATCACGAGCATGTGCCCCAAAGTACGATTAAATCGCTCACTGAAACCATTCTTTTGTGGGTTGTAGGTGGAACTCTTCTGGTATAGAATAAGGCACTGTTGAAAAAGTGATTGGATTACATCTGAGAGGAATACACACCCGGAGTCACTGAGCAGTTTGCGAGGAGGATCATGACAAAGCACAAAACGATTGAGTATTAAAATTTCAACGTCTTGGGCTGTCGCTGAGGGGAGAGCAGCAGTTTCAGCGTATACCGTTGAAGATTATTCATAGCCATGATAGTCCATCAGTTGCCTGCTGTTGTCAATGGGAGTAGTACGTAGAGGTCGATTCCAGCGCGACCAAATGGGTGGTCTTGGCATGGAAGTGGCAAAAAAGTACCTGTTGAAGGATGCGGTGGGTTTTCCTGCCGCTGACATTCGTGGCACCCGCGAATGAACTGGCGGGCCAAGGTAAACATTCCACACCTGTAATACCTTTTCCGTAGGTGCTCATAGGTCTTGAAGACACCGGCGTAAGCACATTGCGGGTCGGAATGAAATGAAGCGCAGATTGTAGAGCGCAGCGTTCGGAGAATAACTAGAAGCCATTTCCTACCATCTGCTGAATAGTTGCACCGGTACAAAAGGCCACACCGAATACTGAAGTGCGGAGTCTGGAGGCACCGGGTTCGAGTGGTCGGAAGTGTCAATGCCTCGGATAATGCGTCAATAAACGAAGGGATCCATGGGTCATTGCGTTGTGCAGAAGAGATGGTGTCCATGTCTAGAGCTGACAACGTGTTGTCTGAGGAAATATATGCAATGTCAGGGGATAGAGGGATCGCGACAGTGCATCAGCATCGGTATGCTTGTGGCCAGATGATATACAACGCGGATGTCGTATTCTTGCAGACAAAAGGCCCAACAACCAAAACGACCCGATAGATCCTTGAGGGCAGACAACCAGCATAATGTGTAGGGGTCCGTTACTACATCAAAAGTACGGCCATAAAGGTATGGGCGGAACTTGACAAGCACCCAAACGATCGCTAAGCTTTCCTTCTCGGTGACACTGTAGTGCGATTCAGCCTTGGTCAGAGTTCCGCTGGCGTAGGCGACGGCATACTCGGCGAATACAGCTTTGCTTTGTGCGTGAGCCGCACCGAGGCCGACAGCACTGTCGACGGTGTGAACCTTAGTTGCCGCCATAGGATGCTACTGACTCAATATTGGTGGTGAAATGAGGAGACGACGGAGGGTAGAGAAGGCTTGGTCACATTCGGAAGACCATGACCAAATATCGGTGGCCCTGCCTAGAAGTTCTGTCAAAGGCGCAATAATAGCGAAGCTGCGCATGAACCAGCGAAAGTCGGAGCACAATCCCACGAAGCCTCGTAACTGTTTCACAGTCCTTGATTTGGGCAAGTCGGCGACAGCACGTAATTTAGCCGAGCCTTGAACTATACCGTCCTTTGAGACGACGTGACCGAAAATCGTTAGTTGCCGAGCAGCGATGTGGCACTTCTCGAGGTTGAGTTGGAGCTGAGCATTTTTCAGGCACGTGAGTACGCATCTCAGGCGCTCGAGATGTGTTGAAAAGTCTGACGCAAAAACTACAATATCGTCGAGATAGCAGAAACATATTTGCCACTTCAAATCTCGAAGAAGCGAGTCCGTCATGCACTCGAAAGTGGCAGGCGCATTGCAGAGGCCGAATAGCATGACATTAAACTCATACAAACCATCAGGTGTCACGAAGGCTGTTTTTGGTCGATAGGCATCTACAAGGGGCCCCTGCCAGTACCCTGAACGCAAATCTAACGATAAAAAAACTTGGTGCACTCTAAAGTATCAAGGTCATCGTCAATCCTGTGTACAGGGTACGCGTTTTTTCGAGTGATCTTATTGAGGCGCAGGTACTCCTCGCAGAAGCGAATGGAACCATCGTTTTTTAACGAGCACAACTGGTGAGGCCCATGGACTTTGTGAAGGTTGAATTACGCCGCATTGCAGCATACCGTCCACCGGTTCGGTAATAACATGGGGTTTTGCCGGAGAAACACGGTATGGTCGTTGCTGAAGTGGCGCACGGGAGCCGGTATTGATGAAATGAAGAGCGGTAGAAACGCAGAGAAGTGCAGGTTGAACAACATCGAAAAATTTGCAGTACTGGCCCAGCAGTCGGAGGAGTTCAGATCGTTCAAATGGTGACAGTCCGTCTGCAATCGCTGAATAGAATACTTTCGAAGCCTGTACGTCAGAGTGGTTAAGAACACTGAGGGCGGCGAGGTTACTTTGGGATGATTCTTGCTGCACGGTAAAAATTTGTCCCTTATAAATGGGCTGTACGCACCCAAGCGATTCGCCTCTAAACAGTTCGATGGTATACGGAAAGAGATTGGTGAGGCAGAAAGTACTTGCTCCATTAGAAATCGAGGGGGCTGAGTAAGGAAGGAGAAGTGGTTTCCGACTTAGAAAGAGGCTTCATGGCTCAAAGAATGCTACTTCATCACACATGCTGTTGGAGCCCACAGGGAGCAAAACACCTGCTGTCAGTGGAATATCGGTGTCTTATTTTAGAACTAGCTTCTGTGTGACTTGATGCATGTGGTCGTAGGGCTGGTAAAACAACGGGAGAAGTTAAAGTTCGGAACGGGCACAATCTAAAATAGCGTGATTATACGATAGGAAATCCCAGCCAAGTATGCGTCATGAGAGCAGGAGGAAAGGACGATAAACTCAACAATGTGGTGGTCTTCCGCAATGGTGAGTCGGGCAGTGCAGGCGGCTATAGGTAGCACAGGTTCTCCATTTGCTGCAAGTAACGACATCATATCAAGCGGCGTGGTCACTTTTCGGAGCTTGCGGCACAATTTAGCGTCTGTAACGGCCCGTCCACACTGATCATTTCTGCGGTCAAAAGTGCTCCGAATCAGACTCGGCGGCGGCGAGATCCACCGAAAAGGCCTCTTCCGGGCTGACTGCTCTCAGACCAATTTTTGCGGCCGAATTGGCTCACCGCG